TAATTTGATCGGGAGTAGCTTCTTTCAATATTGCTTTTCGCTGAGAAGGAGTAGTCTTGGACAAAAGTGCTAACATATGATAATTTTTCTTTACGTTCTTCATTTTATTGGTAAGTATATCCAAAAAATACCTTGTTCGTCGGGAAAACACGAATCTCTCACAGAAAATTTCTTATTCGTTTTAGGATGAAAATCTAATAACAAATAACCAAATTCCTTCTCTGTTGCTTTTTTATATGCATCCATAAAAAAATCGCATTTACCAGCAAAAGCTTGTCGCCCCAAACAACTTACTTGACTTTCATCGCGATTATTTTTAAATAATATCAAATAATGAGTGTTTAAAGTTATATCTCTCATAATTCTATTTTTTGGAAACAAATTTTGCATTATAATTATCACGCTTACATTATAATGATGAGACTCTGTTGTAAACAAAGATGCAGTTTTTGAACTGAGTTCATGCATCAAATCATCAATTATTATTAAATCCCATCCTTGCACGGATTCAGGTAAACCATACATGAATGTAATATTTTTTCCTCATGAAAAAAATGATAAATATACGGAATAACACCATAGAACCTTTTTTAATGTCATTTCAAAAATTTTATTATGAATAATTTATCTCACTAGTGTAGTTTTTCCTGCATTGTGAAAGTCCAACGATTATACACTTACTAAGATGTTTAAAATACATACTTGTATTAACTAATTGAACTTATAAGCTTTAGTAAGTTTATAATGCTTTGTTTCGCAAATTATCTCTCTACATATTAATATATTCTTTTAGTTCTTTTCTGTATAAACTTCATTCATAACTTCTGAACATTCCTCGAACGAATAATATAATTTATTACTAACTTGATTAATTCTTCCATCCTCGTCGACAATTATAAAACCATATTTTCTCATCTCCTTTCCATATTTCATCGTTAACTTTAAAATAACGTAAAACAATAGGAAAATTATCGGGAATATCGAAAGAAAACTTATTTACCACAACAATACATGTATCCAAAGACTTGTACAGACGAGGAAAAACAGAATAATTTCTATCGCCGTCGTAAGTAAAAATAAAACCATACGTCTCCATGATTGCAACTTTCAATCTTGATATTAAAAATAAATTATAATGTTACTTAAAACTATATTTATATCAAAAGCCGACTAATCTTATATCTTTTATAAAATAATTCATAATAAAAATAAAAATTAGTTCATAAAGTGAATTAAAAAATATAATTAATTTTTAAAAAGTTTTGATAATTAAATTGTTAAAATACGATTGATTTATTTAAAATTTGTGATTAAAATTTCTCTTAAAATAATTATTTTGTGATCAGTGTGTGTCAAGCCCCTACTACTTGCATATAAATTCAGCAAACTTGTACTTGAAAATTATTTGATACTGTATATAGAAATTCAATTGATATCTGGAAGTGAATAAGTAAGAAAGATGTAAACGTAATTGCTGAGTTCATAGAAATTCACTCAGTGATACGTTAAAATTTAAGAGAAGCAATTTAAAAATTTTTAATTAAACTTTATTCTTTCCATACGTAATACATTAAAAATTGTTAGTGAAAAATCCGATTATTTATGAAAATATATTAATTTTTGTTACTTCAATATCATGTTTGTTACATATGATGATGCAACATTATATTCAATTTGTTTTTTTATTTGTTTTATATCTTCGAATATAAGACTTGTAGAACAAATCAGTGAACAAATAAACATATGACAGATATATAAGAAAACTAAAATTTAACGCGTTCAATGATGTATCGCACGTATGTCCATTTGCAAGAAGCCAATAAATCCAACATATTAGCAGAATTGCAAATACCATTTGAATAACTTGGACAGCAGTTATCAACATAGCAACTATTGAAGATATTTTTATTTTCATGCATTTTAAAGTAAAATAACTGTACATCAGCGAATGCACAAAAGTGTTGATGTAGACAGATGTCAGTAGAAAACAAGACTCTTCGAATGAAGCATACCATGTTAACATAATCGCCATTACGTGATGATAGCAGTGAAGAAACATCAAATTTCGTTTACTTAATATTATGAAAATTGTGTCTCCGAATTCCCAAACTTTAGAAAATACAAATGTTGTTATCCAGAATAAGATCGCTGGTGTATTTTCTGTCAAACTTATATCGCATACAATATCATAAAAAGTTAATCGCTTAAATGCTTCGTACAGAACTGGAATGCCTCTTAAAGTGCTACAGATGCTATAAATTGCCAGAAGCCCATTCCAAATCGTAAAGGCCACTTTCAAGTTATAAGGAGGTCGACCTTTCATGTGATGCTGAA